GTTACATGCTCCGGTTATGCACAGTAAACATGTGATTGTATAGAATGAAATGGAAATAAAAAATATTATGTAAGACTTGTTAAAGAAATTATAGAGTTACCCCACTTGCAAAAATGTGAATCCTGGAGGCATACAAATAATAAAAATGAGATCAGTGTCCCCTGCAACAGAAGAACTGAAAATCAATGAAGGCAATAAATCCACAGTTGGGGCACATCAACATATATTTCACCGCCCAAGATGGACTCATCTAACATCCCAGATCAACAACTGAGGAAACAGTGTGTCCTCGAAGCCTTCTTGAAGACTAACAAGACTTGGGGACAATCAAATCTTGAACAGAAGGTGGGAGAGATTGTTCCATAGGGCAGGCACCATAGCAGAAATGACAGATTCTCCTAAGTCCCATCAGACGACATTGTCCAAGGAAGAGACCGGGACACACCATTCTTTTGGACTTTTAGAAGAAGCCCATCACTCAAATTGTGGTTTATTTTCTTACTCTCTAGGACAGGGAGGGCGGGACAAGAAGTAATGCGTGGAAGCTTGTCAAAGAGAGATCTAACCTAGAAGTCATGAGAGATTTTCTGACAATGAGAGCAATTAATCAATGGAATAGCTCGTCTCCTGGGGTTTCAGTTGTTCCATCACTGGAGGTTTCCAAGAATAGCCATTTGACTGGGATGGTATAGGCGGAGGGTTGGACAAGAAAACATCCACACTCCGCACTATGGTTCTATGGTTACTTCATTCCTTCAGGGACAAATAATATTTCCCATATGCTTCTTATTAATCCTGTAATGCTGTGTTATGATTAAAGTCTCATATATCATTTTTGATCCACCAGAAGAAATGTAGGTTTCCCCCCCCCCCAAATTGTTTCAATTTCCAGGAGTGCAACATCAATCAGCAACATTTTAAGGCAAATATTGCTCCCCTCCCCCCCGGGAGAGTGTTACTGCATTATGGAAAAACTTTTGGAAATCAATCCAAAGCATTGCAGTGTGTGTGTTTGTGTGTGTGTGTGTGTGTGTGTGTGTATGTATGTAATTTTGTGTCACAACCCCTGGTATGCCCAAATATTTACATACCTATTTCCCTGGCTCAGCTGATAAAGGAGGAGAACCTGTGGCTTAGTGGCTAACACAACTGCCTAATATGTAATACAGCACAGGTTGAAATCCCAGTAAGGGTATGGCTAGCTGATGAGAGCTAAATAGCTTGAAATAGATCTATACTAGTCTCCCTTTATTTATTTATCAGCACAAATACTACACACACACACACACACACACACACACACACACACACACATTCCATTATGCTTCAATAATTCCATTATTGAAAAAGGTGCTAATTATTAGAGTAAAAAATACTCTTCATTTATTTTAGAGAAAGTTGCATGAAGCAAGTGAAAGATGTGTAACCTGGAAATGATTACTGGAGAATCAGTTTATTAGACTGAAAAACCAAGAATATTCCAAAAGCTTTTTGTGAAGTAGAAGTAAAATAATTAAAAAGTGAGAAGAAAAAATGGGCTGCATTTCTGAGCTGCTGGCAGAAATGGATTTTTCAACACTGTTTTATTTCATGCCGAAGTATCGTACACTGTTTTTTCTAGTAATGTTCCTCACTGTAACCCAGATTTAATTAAATATCTCATTCTGATCCTTTGCCTTCCTGGTTGAGAACTCATATAGGAAATTGTTCTTGCGTAATCATCAGATACCCATAGCTAAGCATTAGTGAGCCAGTCCAAATTCAGTGTATGATTTCTTCTGAAAGACCCAAATTCGTACCAAGCTAAATCACTGGTGATTCCATAGCATAATCTATTTTGCATGCAGAAAAGTCTTATTTTTAATATCTCTTCAAAAATGGGTGCTGTGAAAATTTTGAGCTTTAAACCAAGTATGTTGTTGCTAATCAAAATAGCAATAGCAATAGCAGTTAGACTTATATACCGCTTCATAGGGCTTTCAGCCCTCTCTAAGCGGTTTACAGAGTCAGCATATCGCCCCCACAGTCTGGGTCCTCATTTCACCCACCTCGCAAGGATGGAAGGCTGAGTTAACCTTGAGCCGGTGAGATTAGAACCGCTGAACTGCAGATAACAGTCAGCTGTAGTGGCCTTCAGTACTGCACCCTAACCACTGCGCCACCTCGGCTCTTAGGCTGCGTGACAGCTGTGGATAATGAGTATTGCAGTCTTACAGCAGTGGGATGTCTGTTGCAACATTTACCACTATGTTTATAGATACAGCCATCCCACCTAGGCATTGATAGCGGTGTAATACAATTTGTAACTTGGATGGTTCCTCTGTGGGGAATATGTTTGTGAAAAGCCCTCTTGACTGATCTAGGCTATACCTTTGTTACACCTTACTCCTAGATTGATGGTGGTGAGATGGAAAAATTTAACTGTCGTGGTTATTCGGCAAATCATGATTAAACATGGCCTTGGCATTGTGGGAAGCCATCCTGTTATCCTGCTTTCTGCTAGGGATGAATTTTGACATTGGGCCCATTATCAGATTCAGCTGTCGGTTTTAGCAATTAGAATTTGAAGCAGATAATACAGGATCAGGAGTCTTTTATACAACTCAAAACAAATGCTGTAGTAGTAGCTGATGGCATAATTCAGAGCTGCCAGTGAGTGTATTTAATCACAGATCCGGGTTGAGGTCTTGACTCTGGTCATAATCCAGAGCTTGTAACGTTGGGCATCAGTAAATCTCTTTGTTCTAGATCTATCTATCTGAATTAATTTAGATGATTGGATCTCTAAACCTCCAATTGGCTTTACGGTGGCTATAAAAGTATCATCTGATTTCCAAATAGCACCACAATATTTATTGGGCATTGATGGTTCTGGGTGTCCAGTTAGGAGAGAAAACCGCATTAGTGGTAGAGTCATTGATTAGATGTTTTCTATATTGTTATGTATTTGGGAATGAAATAAAACTACTTAATTACAAAATGTTAATAGCAACCTCTTATTCCTCCATTTTTTGAACTCAAATATCTAATGGACCAAGGATATAATTCTTATAAGTCACGTTCTCAATTTCCAGGTTGCTTGAATTTTATTGTAGCTAACAGGCACAGTTATTGAGTGTATTGGTTGGAGATGTTGGGTATTGGAGGCCATCTGCTTGTGGTATTAAAATAAAACCTGTTGTTCTAAATGGGATTTAGGGGGAAAATTATAGACATTGATGTGTTTTATTGCGAAATTCATTGTTTAGTAAACTATGACTTAGTGCAATATGTGAACCTACTCCCAATTATCTTGTTTCATACAAGATTTAACCATAATGTTTGGAGAAATCCATAATTGGTTGAGTTCACAATGCTAAAGCAGAAGCATCAACCACACAAAATATGCTCAGCTGGAATCAGACGAATCACATTATACGTATCTTGGTGTGATATGTAAGGCCACCGGTTCCACCACAAATCCGCGAAGCCCTTATCCGCGGAGACATAAGCACGAAGACTAATTCGCGCCGTTCAAAGCGCTAAGA